AATATCCAGTGCGTTCGTCAAAATAAGTTCTGTGACGTCGTTTACAATTTTTCGAAGAGCTCAAGTAGCGCAGCAGCTAAGGGCGCGCTACGAACGCACTTTATTTGGTTTGACACCTCGCCCTGTGCTTCACCGATCGCCGTACCTTTGACATCGGTAAACTAGAAACGAAATTGTTTAGGCGATTGAAAAGCATTGAAGTGATATGACAGGCCCTCTCAAATCGTTCTATTTTCTGAATGTGCATTCAACAACCTCTACAATGCCTAGTGGATTCCAAAGTATAGCACATCCATAATCGATTGTTCCACATCGAACGCTTCTCTTTTATCCTTCATCTACCGTTCCAGTGCCTTCCGAATGACAAAATTTTATTGATTGTCAAACGCTGCCTTCTTCTGCATATTACTGAGAAGGTTTTACAGCTTTAGTTCGATTTATCACGTTCAAATGCCCGTCGTGAACTACCACCGACAGCGTTCTTCCTAGTGAACTATCTCCACTACGAAACTCTTTAAGCCATTTGCAAACGATTTACTCTGAAACCTTTCCTTGCAATATCTGATGACATTGCAAATTGTTTCAGGAGCGTATTTCTAAGGTTCAGCAGATGAAGCAGTGCGGCAAGAATTTTATGCCTTCACACCTCCATTTAATCCAGCATAGAAGCACTGTAAACTAATAATTTACTTTTTCCTTGATAACTGGATACGATACTGCTGTTACGGCATTTCGTCACTATGGCTAACGTTTCGGCGGGTTTCACCCACTTGAGAGCCTGGAAAGATCAAATTGATAGGCAATCTATTCGGTCAAATGTTTCCATATCCCTAATAGGAAAAGCCCAAATCAAAATTTTGGTAATGCGCCCATCTTACGTTGAAATATCGGTATCAATTGTCTGAGATCTCGCCTGACGCATTCGTCCTCGCGTTTCATCTTTGGATTTTTGAATTTTCTCCGAAATACAACTAAGATGATGCTGAGATATTTGCAAAACTTCGGACCGCAGGTGTCTGCGGTGGGGAACAAACGCGCTGTTGTCCGAAATAAAACTAACAACTAAGAACTAGGTTCGTTGTCGATTTGGACTCCCTAGATCAGTCCCGTTGACAGGTGATTGCCGATGGTGCCGGTCGATAGAACTAGCTAAGCGACAGGCGAAACGAAGGACCCGCGTGGTAAGGTGGTGAACGCGTTACACGCCGGAAAGGACAATAGCGCGTTCGTTGCCCACCGCAGACACCTGCGGTCCGGAGTTTTACAAATATCTCAGCAACATCTTAATTGTATTTCACATAAGTACCCTGCCGTTAAAAATTATATTAGGCAGTAAATAAAAGAGGTTAAGATTATTTCCGAAATACTTCGAGGACGCAGATGTTTTAGTCTCCTCTTCGAGGATGGAGACTTCCACTACAAAATCTTTTCCACTATTATATTTGGAGTCCATGCGTGCCCAGTAAAGTTGTTTGTTTGATTTTAACTCTAGCGTTAGGGTCAATTTTACAAATTTGCGTTTCGCATAGACGGATATGCAAGCGGTTACGAACAACCTGACATCTTAAAGTGCTCCATGATATTTCAATCACTGCTACCGATATCCTTAGTTTGGCCGTTCATTTTCGCTGGAAATGAAGGGTAGGATAAACGAAACCTTATCATTGGTAAACTTATCGTTTAAAAGCATATTTTTTTCTCTAAAATTTGAGGGCCGATACTGATTCTTAAAGACAAGCCTAAATATCATCTGCTATTCTTTATCTTACCAAACCCTTCAGCGCTAAGCAGGCTAAGTTGAGAGACCTTTTCCACTTCTCGGATTAAGCTCCATAATTTTGCCATTGGTTTGTATCTGCAGACGAGTGTACGAATTTGCTTGTATAACATGATAGTCGAGAATACGTGAAGGCTCCCACTGACTAATTCATGCCGCCTCGAGCACTGATGAAGCCTCCTTGACAACGCGCCGCTGCCATTCTGCTTACTCTCACAGTTTCCTGAGCACGTTTACGGCATGCCGTTATCACACGAGAACTCTGATAGCAATTTCGCTAAATCCTTGATTGATTTCACTCGACGAATGAGGCTTTCCTTCACTTAATAACTCGACGACGTAATTTGTTCATCTGAGGCATTTCTTAAGTAACCGTATAATTTTATAAGCAGTATGGAGCGTTTTCACTTTTTTGCTTAGAGTTGTTCTCGATTTTCACTCGTTGTCTACAATGTCTGAGTATCCTAAGCAGCATTTTTTTTTTGAAGGATACAAGTTTGAATCAGCAGTCTACACAAGGCTAACTAGGAAATCCTCGCTTACGACTTTTCCGATTTTTTTTCTCACCTGGACGTTTTCGCAGATCTAATTGCGTGCTAGAATACTCGAGGAGTACAGAAATCTTCACATTCATTGGAAAAACTTTGCTCTTTTCTTTTAGTCGTGTATATAATCTTTAAAAAGCGTCAATTCAGCTTTAGATTTTTTTACAATTAAAAATTGAAAGGAGAATGTGGTTGTTTGAAAGCTCTAACGCAAGCACGACAGCTTGACGGATCTTGATAGCAGAAATCGTACATATTCAATTGCTTTCGTTCTTGAAGTACGAGCATTGATGAGCAGAAGAGGAGGAAGAACGCTCTTCATAGGAGTGAGAAAATCAGAATCTCAATCCGGTAGAGTGAACTTGCTTCTTCCTTGAAAATAACTGAAAATTACGGAGGAGGTTCCTATAGAAGTCTGGAGAGTTCATTACAAGCTGACATACAACATGGTTTCGACTTGAAAACCGCTATCGTTTTGCACGAAAAATATTGAAATCAAAGCAGCAAGTGCGTCATATTCAGCTGCATAGTCAGGTTGGATAGTAAGCAAGGTTCCGAAAGAAAATCTTTGCTAGTATGAAGACAAACTGCTCGAAGGTATACGGCGAAGTCATGTTGAACTAATTCAACGTCATTCCAGCATCTGAGTTGAGTTTTAATGTCGGACTAAAATGGATGATGGATGTTACACTCATTTAAGGAAAAGCAAAGAGAAGTTATGAAATGATGCGTTTATTGAGAGCATTTTGTGAGACTAAAGTAGATGTTGTAAAGTTCTGCAAACGTTCCGCCCTAAGATGAAGCAGTAATATATCACGGATGCTTCAATTCACCAGCAACTGGAACCTTTTCTTGGAGATATCAGATGAACTATCGCACAAAAATAAAAGAAAATTGAGAGAATTCCATCTTCTATTGATTTCAGCATAATGGTCGGGCGGCTCCCTAATCAACTTTCTTGTTTTTAAGTATCTCAATCACTTTTGAAACAACTACAATGACGCTAAGCTATTTGCAAAACTCCGGTCCGCAGGTGTTTGCAGTGAGGATCGGACACACCATTACCCTTTCCCGGGGCTAATGCATTCACCACCACGCAATGCATGTCCTTCGTTTCGCATGTCTCTCAACCTTGTTTTAACCTATAGGTCCTACCAGAAATCAGCCCACCCGTCAGTGGGATTGATTTCGGGAGTGCAAATCGGGATTGAATCCAGTTAAGCTGAAGCTGTAGTATAAATCATAACGCAATCACTTTCTTGCACCTATAGCTTAGAACACGGATGAGACAAATGCGAAAGACAGTACCTGTATGGTGTGGTGGTGAACGCGTTGGCCTCGAAAACGGTAATCGTGAGTTTAATCCCAACCGCGGGCACCTCCGATCTGGAGTTCTACAAATATCTCAACATCGGTGTAGTTATATTTCGCATCATACCTTGCCATGGAAAAGAATAGGCAATGAATAAAAGTGTTTGGTGTATTCACGTGTGTTTCCACGTAACTATTTGCAAAGGATAGTCCTCGAAAACCGAGACGGAAGTCAAAGTGCTTTCGGGATATTCCTATCTTCAAGACCATATTGTCGCTATTAAATGTGTACCCCTAAGTTTCAGTGTTGTGTATTTCGACCAATCACGTTTACATTATGAGCTGATATGTGGATTAAGGTTGCCAAATGTCTGACGAATTCTCTTATGCCTACATACATTATGTCATTGCTTTTTTTAAAAATCAGAGCTTGTTTTCACGCGTTCTATTAGTGGGAGGCACTTCCTCTTTCTAATGTGGGTCAGTTCTTGTGCATTATCAAAAATCCACTTTCTTCTATTTTTAAGGCGTTTTATGGCACTAAAATACTTTAAATTCGCTGAAATTGACTATCTGTAGTGACGTCCATGTCTAATTTGTTGTGTTATTGTTATTATTGTCTAACATCATAGATTTTAGGTGATAGTTCTAGTATCCACAAATCCGGTTCATGTGAGGTCGGGCCCTACAGGTGTACAGCAAGACTGCTTGCATACCCCGAGTTGACTTATACAAATACGAATGCCGTACATGCCCTAATTCATGGGATATAATTCCAATCTTAGCCGTGTCGCCACGACTAACACCGTGTGTGTGTGTGTGTGTGTGAATGTATCTATGTGTGTTTGTGTGCATGTATATGTGTGTGTTGTATATATATATATACATATTTATATGTGTGTGTGGTGTGTGTACGTCTACGTCTACGTCTTCGTGTACGTGAGAGTGTATTAGCATATTACTGTATCTGTGCGTCATTGTATAAGTTCATCGGTGTAATGTATGCGCGCATAAATTTATGCCATATGCATGTATATAACTTGCATCCATGTGAACAGTATGCTGCACTTGCATTCAGTTAAAGCCACCAATGAATTAGCAACAGAGCCCATAAGTAGGAATGCTGGAAAATGGCACCAAAGAAGGTTTTACAAGGACTCCAAGAGAATGCTGCCACCTATACAAAATTACTCTCTCCGAACATACCGTGAAAAGCAAAGTTTTCTTTTGCCATAGGTGTAGTGTTTTACTTCTCCCACAAGCGGCCGCATCGGCTAACCCAGACAGGTAACACAATGGAGATATTACCGATATTTGCTCGACTCTCTCAAAAGCAGTAGGAATGACATTTGATATTAGGTAAACTAGATAAAGAACGGACAACTTTGTCTTCTATATCGTCTTCTAAACTCCTTTACAGTTTATTCACGGTATCTATGGCCTTGCAGCAAAGTTTGTTCATTTAACAACCTTTTTCGGTCACTTCAATGTCGTTGTGTTTCCATCTCATCTTATTGATCGTAATGAATTAAGAAAATTCCGGGTTCCATTAGTTAACCTTCGATACGTCATGCGACAACGTTTCGTTCAATGTGGAAAGTAGGCGATTATGTGCATCGATGGGAAAGGAGACTGCTCTGACGACTTCAACGCGACGATATGCCTTCAACTGTTCTCACTGGCTCGCACCTTCAACAACAAATTGTGGTCCGAACACAGAAGATCGCAGGTACAACAAATCGTTTTTCAGCGGTTTCTTCGCCTACGTGAGAAAGTGTAAGAGAACTAGTGGTGGAAATGCAGTCGTGTGAATTTGGCAATGAAGACTTCTAAAGAAGAAGTTAATGAAATAGATGCTATAAGGCTACAATTTCAATCAAGGAGGAGATTCTGATCTTATTTTCGACCGAATTCCACTTTCTTTCACTTCTAATTTTCATTTTGGCGGCGATAAGCGAAACTGAGACAACAGGAACGACGAAACTAAAGTGGTATTTTCGCTTAGCAAGAAGAAAACCCTGTGAAAAATTCCGTCTCTCTTGTCAGGTTGACCATGTTATGATTGAAAATGATTATCAATGAATTTTAAAACTTCAGGAAAATATCGTTGGTGCCGACCTCTACACAACTGTTATCCTGGGATTGTTTGCTTCAGTTATAATACTTCTTATGGTTCGCTCAATAAAATTAACGGATTCCTTGGATGACCAGGTATCGCAGTACTTCTTTATTCGTTTAAATCGTTTTTGTTCACTTCTTGTGCAAAAAAAACCTATTTGGAAGTTGTTATTGTATATCCTCCCAACGATTTACCGCCTTATCGTGGCTGGGAGGTGTAACTGGGTGCCGGGCACCTGCAGTCTCCCAAGATGAGAAGGAGTCCGGCATTTCCAGCAGAAAACACAGCTAAGAATAAGCTAATACCAGACTCCACCACCATCATGGTATCAGACTTGTCGCATGATGGGGAAATCTTCCTCTGATCCACAAGGGCGACGACTGCCTGTGGTGGTGACGATCTGGGATAGACTTTGGTCTGGCTTACTTCGGTACTCCAGGGAACCACAATGGATAAACCAGCAAAACTCTGACAAAGTAGTGATTTTCCTGGAGCCCGCACAACCCGTGAGGACGGACCATCCAAGTATCCAAGTAAGTATATTATGTTAAATCTATCGATGAATTTCATAAAGTTCAGGTGACAACCCTTCTTGCGTCGATGCAGTTGCGAGTGGAACAAGAAGAGGAAACCAGACACAGAAGAACAAAGAAGTACGTCTATCACTTTTGAATGAATTTTACCACGGTACTTAAGCGATTACAGAGAGTTGAAACGGAGGGCTCAAATGTGGCTAGCTGATATCAAGTCAAAGAGTCTGAACAAAGTCGCTAGAAATCGCAGAAACTCAAGTTTTTTCTGTGGGTTCTTTTGTACTATGTCTTATACTGCCTACTCTTTAGCCGTTGTTTTAATTTTTTAGGCAGATTGAATTCTGCCTTTTTCTACTGTGTCAACTAATATTCCGTTGTGCCTTGCCCTTGCCTTTCCCTGTTGTCTTTTGGCAACGTAGTACTTCTACTTTCTTTTCAACATGGCAAAAAGGAAGTGAAACCACGTAGCCATACCCTTTAACCTCTTGCTAGCTTTTTCTGAAAACAATTCCGCACGGACTTCGTTTAGTATTTAATTTAACGCATATTTTTAAGTAATGGAAATAAGAAAGTAATCAGAAGGTGAATATATTCAATCAATGCCGAGGTTAATAGAAAGTGGGACTTGGGAGAAAGTGAAGTGTTTTTCTAGTTATCCTTCAATTGAGTTATAACATTACTTGAAGAGGCGGAACTCGTCATAGGGAAAGTCTCGAATTAAGAATTTCCGACTGGTCTGTTTTTTCTTGTCGAAGTCATGGAGTGCTGCCTACATCTTATTTTACGAGTTCCGGCTCTAAGAAATGTTACTTACTACTTTCTCATGACCATACCTGTATCGAAGCTTTCTACTTGAAGCATAATTTGTTCAGCAGTGAGCACTCATGAACCGTTTAGACGTAATCCTCTTCATATCTTCGCTTTCCACAATTTCTTTCATAAATTTTTCCCCAAACTTTTACTTTTAATGAACCTCATCATTCATTGGCACCACTTCAATCTCACTAACTTGTAGTTGCTAAAACATATATTATGATATTTTAATAATGCGACGAAGCAACACCTCTACTACTTTGTCAAAAGCTATAGAAGACTCCTTAGGACAAGTAGAACTAAACAATTTAGATTTCTGGTGGCAATTGTAGATAGAAAGCTAGGTGAGACATGCGAAACGAAGGACCGGCATGGTGCGATAGTAAACGCGGTAGACCCCGGAAAGGGTAACAGCGCGTTCATTAACCACCACAGACTCCTGCGGTCCGGAGTTTTGCAAATATCTCAGCATCGTTATTGCTGTGGTTCACATGAAACGATGCCGTAAAAATTGTAGTAGGCATCAAATAAAAAGCTATGATTGTAAACAATCCAGGGTTATTCAATAAAAATTTCACAGTGTGAAATACGTGAAAATGTTGCGGTGCTGATCGCTACGAACTCCGATTATTGGTTTTGGAAAAGAAGAATTATCACGGAGGATATGCGAAAATTGTAGCGCTTCGTCGTCTAAACGAATGATAAAAAGGTTCACCGTACAGAATACATTCCTGTTAAATCCGCTGGAAAATACTATTAGAAATGATTTTTGTTTGTTATCATAATGTGAGGATCACTCCTAACGGTTTATCGCCATCGTGGCAGGGAGGTGTTCCTGGGTCTCTGACTGCGATGTACAGTGGGGGATTCATCCCCTGGCAGGGTCTCCCAAGCTGAAAAGGAGTCCAGAGTTTCCATCAGGAAGCCTAGCTAAGAGTAAACCAATACCGCATGGTGGCAAATCTCCCTCTGATCTACAAAGGCTGCGACTGCCTGTGGTGGTGACGACCTGAAGCAGACTTTGGCCAGGCTGACCTCGGGATTCCAGGGAACCACAATGGTTTAACCAGCAAAGGTTCGAAAAATAGAGATTGTGCTGGGCCCGCACAACAGGTGAGGATGGGCCATTCAAGTATCAAGTAAGTAAGTATTTGAGGATATCCTAATAATCGGCTATCTCCCTTAGCAGGAAGAATCTGGGTTTCCAAAGTTGTTAATTAATGAGCTTTATTTCAATACCTCCCAGTGGCTCACTGCCTCATCGTATTTGGGTTATGTTCTTGGATGTTGGACTGTGCAGCGGGGAGTTTATCACTCCAGCTCGGCCTCGGAAATTGAGATGGAGTTCGATGTTTCAGTTCGGAAGCCCATCTAGTGGTAAACCGATATCAGAATTAACCACCGCTCTGGTGTCGAACTAGTTCTGTGACTGAGTGAAGCTCTAGCTGGATTGACATTAGGGATCCAGAGGACAACAAGTCTTTCAACAAGCAAAACTCCAGCTTCAGTACGCCAAAAACTGGGCGCACCCGTCTACGACGTCGGACGGTGAGACAACCGATAAGAGGTGATCCAATTTCGAGTTGTGGAGAATGTCATTGGAACCGGACCAAACGAATATGACCACGACATGCTACTGCGACTGTCCTTGCTCTGCACCTGCAACGCTAGAAGAATCCACACAGATGCCTATTTTTAGTCTCTTCTTGAGATCGATAGTCGCATCAGATTCCATGTGATCGCTCTAAAAGAGACGCTTTCCATCTAGTTACCTCATCCGAAATCTTACCAGTTCGCCAAGCCATTCTTTGCCCTAAATTTTGCGTTAGAAAAAAAAATCGGCGTTATCAACTGTTATTCGCCGACGTGTACAACTTATGAGAGCAACTGGACATGTTCTAGAGCCATTTGAAGGATGCACTCCACAGAGAGAAAACCTTTCATAAATTTGTTGTTGGGGGCTTCAATTTCAGATCAGGAACGGCTAGCAAAAACGAATACACGATAGGGAAATTCGGAATTGGAGGTCGTATTTAGAACGGCAGTTGTTTTGCAAGGTTCCTGTCCAAAGCACTTCTCTTCTATTGGAACTCATTTCTTCGAGATAGAAGGTTTTCACCGAATAGTTCTTTACCAGCACAACTCATTGGATATCGACCAAATCCTCGAAAACATAGGGTGCTGCTTCTTCGACACCTTCGTGATGTCACCACTGTGCAGTGGATTTGATCACCGCTTTCTGTGTACCTAGATTCTATTCAGCCATAAGTGAGAAAGAGCTCTTGTAACTGCTCAGAAAGAAGAAAAGTAGTTTACGACGAGAACCTTCCCCTTTTTTCACATAGACTGAGGAAACCTGGACCTAAAAGTAGAACGTGTTTAGCGAAAGACTTAAAACTTAAGCCAAATTCGCGGCAATTCTCCAAAAAGAAGTTCATATTTCCATCACCACCAAAGAGTTACTTGAAAAGAGAAGGAAGGTGAGGCTTAATCCAACTGCAACACGCCTAACACAGCTGATAATAAGTGCCAGCTTTAGAATATCGTTGCAGGATGGCTTAAATCGGTATGGATAGAAGAAGCTGTTTGAAGCAGCTCAAAAACGATCAAGTCCGAAGAAGAACAGTCGAGACCTGTCTGATTGTAACCTTATAACATCTTGTAATGATATGAGTTTAATAAAGAAGGAAATTCAGTTGCGAACTAAATCATTAAGACAGGGAAAATTGTAGCAATCAACAATATTACGTCCTTCCTAGGAGCTGGAACCGATAAACTCCAAGTAGTTAACGCAACCACTTTGAGATCTTACCTTCAGGAATAGAAAATTTCAGGCGTTTGGAGAACATCGCTCCTGGTTATCCTATCCAGCAAGGATGGTCGAAGGGATCTTCGTAACCACTGTCCGATAAGCGCATTGGATGTACTGTTCAAGCCGTTTATCCGTCCGTCCTATTGCTCATACAGTGGGGATTAGTCAGAACTAATAAGGATTTCACAGAAATTTTGATGAGCAGATCACATCCAAATTGTGTTCAGGGTCATAGAAGTATGGGGGTAGTAGCAACTGCCTCTTGTACCAACCCTTATCAACCTAAAAAGCGATGGACGGCGCAAAGTGCATGCCTATAAGCGCTCATCGACTAACGAAAGGAACCGTCCCACATAACTCTGGCTGACTCCTATACTAACTGCAGCAGAAAAGTACACCTTTTCCATCGGCCAATTACCAAACCTATAGCAGAATATGTTCGACAAGGTGGTGACATTTCGATTAAAATTTTTTGTACCCTATTAAGGTGGAGAATGAGGTCGCTAGAATGTAGTGAAAATGGCACACAAATTGATTAAAAGTTCCTATCAAGTCTTCGTTTTGCCGACGACGTCATCTTCTTTTCAAAAAGAAGCAATGGAGCAGCGACGATGCTAAATCAGCTCAACGAAGCAGGATAAAAGATTGGATTACACCTAGATAGCACGAAGACACAATTCATGAAGAATCCGTGGTACGAATGTGAACAAATCGAACTAAATGGTTCTCTAATTATAGGCAGCGCATTGTTCATGCAGTTTGATGTTCGATGAATATGGAGAACAAAATGAAAGAAGAATTCGACGGAATGAGGAAAGCAGCATTGGCCGCATTCAGGCCTTTCAAAGAAGCCAGCGAAGCCAAAACTCCGCGCTCACTTTTTCAATTTAGTAGTACTCCCAGCGCACTGTTATGCAGCAGACGTTGGCTGATACTTTGACCACGTCAAAAACTTTGGGTGCCATCCTCAGGACGCTGGAACATTGTTTTCTGAAATTCAACTGACTCACAATGTCCAGTAGAAACGCGCAGCTCAGATCTCTTGAAGTTATCCTGTCTTCGAGATCAACAAGGATATATATTAATTAAAAGTGGAGTGGGTTCTAATAGAATGAAAACCTACTATCCAACGACCATACAAACAATGGACAGACGTGTTCATGGCTTATGTCACCCATCTCGTAGACGCAAACAGTCTCAGGATCTGGGAATGCGATTTGCGGACGTTACCATATTCGAAGAAGACCTCCACTATGGACGACAGTTGCAATAGAACGAAACCAATGAAAATGTGCTGAGCGCCGCACTACTGACGAATAGTGGCTGTCCAAGTAACCGAGTAAGCAGGTATACTTCAATACCCTGCAATTCCAACTGATCATTTAACGTAGAGTCGTGAAAGCATGTGTGAATGATAAGACACTCAAAGTAAAGCGAAGAACTGTTTTGAAGAACCGACTCTCTCTCGCAGTCCTCAGTAAACAAAGCCATTCTTCTTGCGACGTACCCGGTCGCTCGTAGGCATCGAACACTCATTTTAATGGAAAGCGGTCGCTATCACTTTTCCACTCAACTATTCACTGAGTTCAAAATGAGAATCCTTTTAAGATTATTTCTAATATGCTTAGAACGGATGGAGTGCGAATGAATACAGAGATCTAAAGACTGTTTCATATAAAAATAGTTTCCGCCAATGAATTATTG